TCAAAAGGGCTCCTGACAAAGGAGAGGGGATGTACTCTCCTCATAAAGGAAATCGCATTGGTGGGCCCCAGAAGAAATGTCTCCAAAGATCTCAGATGGCTTTAAACGTATGCCATCTTATGACAATAGCAGTCAAGTAATAATTCCCCGCATCCCTTTCCCTCCTTCATCTCCATGTCCCAAACACTAAGGGATCAGAAACCTCAGTGAGCAAGATATGGAATAAAATCACCCACTGGAGAGGGATGATGAGCCTCTCTTCCCAGGCTCTTTTGCAGATTCTCTCCTGCACCTGGTCACAGCTGGGAGAGAGGAGAAGATTTCATATTGCAACAAGTTTGGAGTTTTGGTTATTTCCTGGACCAGGAGATTTAAACTACTAAATCAAGACTGTGTTAGCAGCTTCAAACTCCATGAAAACTTTCCGTCACCTAAGAGGCTGGGGAGCCATGCCGCCTGCCCCAGCCTTAGCCGGGTGAGGGGAAAACCATCCACACGGAATAAGGGCAAGGTTACTTTCATGGTGATATCCCAAGAATCCTAAGTGTTCAATTTATGAGTGACACAATGATTTTTAAGAATGTAAATATTATATTTGGAGTTTGTGTGATGACCTGATGAAGAAATATGCCGTAAAGTGAATTGTATTCATTGCTTTTTACATATAGAGCAGACAGAGGGAACTAGACTCTGAGATTAAAAGTAGATAAAGTAAGTTATTATATCCAATGTAATATTGATAATATCATACAACATAGCACTGCGAGTTTGCAGTGACCATCTACAGCAGAAAAATCCTACAGCTTCAAAGTCCACCCTGATTTAAAAAAAAAAAAAAAATGAAGTGTGCTCTGAATGGCTAACTTACTTTTCTACACGTGAGGGAAGAAACAAAATGCTCCAAAGCATATTCACATGCCTTCTTCAGAGTATACCTAATAGTTATAACAATTTAGCCTAGGGGGAAAGAATTTAATGACAGGTCTAAATATCATATTTTATCCAATGAAATTATTCCTGCATCTTTTTCAGGAAACCTGTATTTCTTGGGTGATTACCATGTTCTCAGACATTATATTGAGCTCTTCACATGTATATCTCATTGAATCCTCACAAGTAATTCATCGGGAGCTATTAAAATGACTATTTCCCCCCCACAGTCAGAGGAAAGATAGACCATTTTTCTACCTCCCTTATTACTCCTCATTCATGTTTTGTTTCTCTTTCACCTGTAACTCATTATCAATTTAAAGTTAAATAGAGCTAATCCAATGTCCAAATAATGCTTTCCAAGTAGTGAGAATCATGCAAAATGGAAAGAGATTGAATCAAACAAACAAAACAAAAGTCCAGGACCAGATGGCTTCACTGGTGGAGACTACCAAACATTCAAAGAATCATTAATACCAATCCTTCTCAAACGTTTCCAAAATCAGAAGAGGAGGGAACTCTTCCAAACTCATTTTATAAGGCCAGCATTACGCTGATACAAAAACAAGACAAGGATACCACAAAAAATAGAAGATACAGGCCAATATCCCTGATGAACATAGATGCAAAAATCCTCAACAAAATATCAGCAAACTGAATTCAACAATACATTAAAAGGATCATACACCACGGTCAAGTGGGATTTATTCCAGAGATACATGGATGGTTCAAAACCCACAAATCAGTCAATATGATATGCCACATTAATAAAATGAAGGATAAAAATAATATGATCATCTCAATAGATGCAGAAAAAAGCATTTGACAAAATTCAATATCTATTCATGATAAAAACTCTCACCAAAGTGGCTATAGGGGGAATGTACCTCAACATAATAAAGGCCATATATGACAAGCCCACAGCTAATACCATACTCAATGGTGAAAAGCTGAGAGCTTTTCTTCTAAGATCAGGAACAAGCCAAGGATGTCCACTCTCACCAATTTTATTCAACGTAATATTGGCAGTCCTAGCCACAGCAATTAGGCAAGAAAAAGAAATAAAAGGCATTCAAATTGGAAAGGAAGAAGTACAACTGTCACTATTTGCAGATGACATATTATATATAGAAAACCCTAAAGACTCCATCGAAAAACTGTTGGAACTAATAAATGAATTCAATAAATTTGCAGGATACAAAATCAACATACAGAAATTTGTGACATTTCTAGACATTAATAATGAACTATCAGAAAGAGAAATTAAGAAAACAATCCCATTTACAGTTGCATCCAAAAGGATAAAATACTTAGGAATAAATTTAACCAAGGAGGTGAAAGACCTGTATTTTGAAAACTGTAAGACATTAATGAAAGAAATTAAAGAAGACACAAATAAATGGAAAGATATTTCATGCTCATGGATTAGAAGAATTTCTTTCTATTCTGTGCAGAAATTGTTGTCAGGTGAGGAACTGCCAAGAAGTAAAGTGACATTATAGTTGTCACAAGTCAGAACAGGAGTAAAGAAGAAATACTATCTGGAAAGCGAGCTAATTTTTTGACCAAAACATTCTCATTATATATTGTGCATACTTTCCTAACTAAAAAATAATAAAGAAAACTTGGAGACATTCATGTTCAGTAAAAGATATACAATATTCCATGTGTAGAGAGAATACTGTGATTCACACACACACAAAAAAAATCTTAAAAAGAAATTGAAGTGTTTTATGTCCTGACCAATTATACTCCCTTGATGGCCATGTATTTCTTTGGGAGCACAAAACAAATCCCAGGTTTGAATCCGAAGTCTAAAAGTGTCATGATGTGACATGCATTCCAAAACCATCACTTTGAAACAGTGTTTTTGCTTATGGTGCACTTTGCATTATGTTAAAGTAGATATACAAAAATAGAATTGAAAACCTGGAAAAGGTTCCATGGTTGGAGGCTAAGTAGCTTTTCTTTTACAGGATTAAGTTCAACACCTTATAAGTATTTTCTTAATTCTTGCCAGTCAGGTTCAAGCTCAGCAAAAGCAATGTCATTAACTGACTCATAACTCACTTTGGGTTGCCTCTGTCTTTACCAGAGAGAGTAGCATTTTTTACTTTCTATACTCATAGAAGTAAAAATGTGGCTCTTGGTTTTAAACGTCACAGCTTAAAATGTTTTCAGAGACTGAAAAGTAAATTCGAGGAGAGGTCAAATGTATTAGTATAACAAAGTCACACAGTATCTCTAAGTTTTCCATTTTCTGTCCAATGAAGATGTTATTCAAGTGAAATACAGACACAAAGATTTTTTGATATGTCTTTCATAAAAATAAAGCAAGAAATTTGAACTAGTGGTTAACTAGGTTAATATATATTTTTAATATTGTATTAAAACTTTTCTTATTATTTCAATAGAAGGGCAACTTGAAGTATCATTTTGCTATTGTTATTGAGCTACATTGAAAAATGTGGCATATAAAACAAACGACAAAAGACTGCCTCTAACAGGCATTAGAAAAGAACTTCCAAATTTAAGTATGATTTTCTTAAGTCTCTCAATAGCCTACTGTTTTGACAAATTTTAGAGAAGAAAAAGAGGGGGAAAGAAGCCACATAATTGAAGCTACTATAAAAAATAACCAGAAGGTTAAATTTTAAAAATCTCATTTTTCAGAAATACCCAAAATAGTAAAAGTCTTACTTATTGATTCCATGACTGCATCAGTCTGCTGGTAGCTATTTAAATCCACCCAAGTATTTTGTTTGTGAAAGTTCTAAGATTTAATATATGTTCAGGCAGAGTGAATAGAAACACAAATAAATATTCTTGATCACAGTTGAAGCTTTCCACGTAAAAGCCTGCAGGATTTGTTGTATAGAATATCGGATATCACTGTTTCCTCTTATTCATAGTTGTAAGTAATTACATTGTTTTCTGATTCATTATATCAAATGTTAATATAACCTTTCTCTCATCTCTGCCACTTTACCTCAATAAATTTTCTTGACTATTTCTTTCAGTCTGTTAATGAATGAACCTATTATGTTCATTATTATGATGATTATAATAACCATTATTACTATTCATTCACATCACATTATATATTTTAGGAAAGTACTATTATCACATGAATTATTTTTATGATCTTTTTTATAGAAGCATAAATGCCACAATGGTTTTCTTTGCCATTGCCCAAATCTCACGCAGAATTATTTCCATTTGTCAATACTAACCAACGAAAATTATTTGCATTCACTTAAAGCAGTAGCTTTAAAAATGCCCATTCTACATTCCAGACCAATTTAATCAAACCTACAGAATTCAAATTTATTTTATTATGAAAAAGTCCCCATTTACTGTGATTTTTTTTCAATGCATGGATTAATCTAAGGCAGCTGCTTCCATAGGAAGAGTGGATTTTATCTAGCCACGCATTGAAAACTTTTCTTAAAGGAGGTATCTGATATTGGGAATAGTAGAGCCAATGAGTATTAGAAAGGGTTTCAGAGTGTTATTGATGGAAAATAGTTAATAGGTATTTTAGTAAAAATTCAGTCACTAGCCTTTTGTCATTATGGCCTCTAATAGACACAAATCATAGGCTATTCAGTTAATGCTAATAATGACAATTCATTGATTATTTATACCCTTTAACTTGAAGTACTACATTACAAGCTGAACCAAGTAGATTGAAATTACAAAATCCCAACCTCCTGAGATCCTGCTGCCTCAGATTATGAGTAGTTCACATATATAAACCATCATGTATAAACATCTAGGATACATTATCCACCATCAATCTAATTGCACTAACATGGGTATATGGACTCCTTTTTTGTTATGAAATATATTAAAACATAAGAAAAAATGCTCATAAGGTCTTGCTAATAACACATCCTCCAGTTTGCATTAATATAATGAAAGTATTGGGGATATATCCAAAATTCAAAACCATGTCATGAATTGAAACTGTGCAAAGGTTTAAGAAAAAACTAGCATTGCTATGATTACACTGCCCCCTAGAGTTAAAATAACTTATATTTATACTGAAGTTCATTTGCCTTTTTCAGATCAGCATTTTCATGACCCATTTGTCCAACTATGGGAATGACCGACTGGGATTATACACATTTGTTAATCTGGCCAACTTCGTACAGAGCTGGACCAACTTGCGACTTCAGACTCTGCCTCCAGTGCAGCTGGCTCACAAGTATTTTGAGCTCTTTCCTGATCAAAAAGACCCTCTCTGGCAGGTAAGATTGGTTCAATTGGTATAATTACTTAATCCCACAAACATATCTTGGAGTTCTAACAGATAATCCAAATCTGATAAGTGAAGGCATCTGGGGAAAAAAACGAATCATACATTTTGAAAATGTTAGAAGATTTGAGAAACTACTTCTTCCTGAATTGTGGTCTTATATTATTGCTTCATAGTGGACCAAATTCTCTGTTTCCATGCCCATTAGAAATTATGGAATTCTGAAAGCTCAGGGAGGGGTTCAGTGGATGTAATGATTTTAGTCAGGAGCGAGGGATCAGTTTGCAATAGGCTAAAATAGTGGAAGATGGGAAACAGGGTATGTATCAGGCAGGTAGCCAGCGGTTCAGCCTTGAGCACATGCTCATATCTCTAAGGACTAAATGACATTAGAGGGATAGGTGAGAAAAGTTCAGAACTGACATCTGCCTTCTGAACCACAGGTACACCAGCAGCTGCAGAATGCGGGCAGCTTTCAAAAGTATTAATTATGAATTTCTTTGGACATGGGGAAAGTGTCTAGTGGCAAAATCACTGAGCTTCTTAAGAGAACGTATCATATAAACATGGCATAGTCAAACTGTTCTAGGCATAACCCAGATTTCAAAGCATAAGCTCTCATGTGTCTTAGAATTGCAGAAACATACTTCAAATTTAAATTGCCCACTCCATGATCTAGGGAAAGTAATAATCTTAGCAAATAATGACATAGCACTTACTATGTGTCAAACTGGGTTCTTTGCATATGTTAACTCATTTAATCCTCACAACAACCCTATGTGGTAGGTACAGTTATTATCTGCATTTTACAGATGAAGAAACTGAAGCACAGAAAGGCTGAGGCACTTAAGCAAGGTCACACAGCTATTGTGTGGCAGAGTGGGAATCAGTTCCAGGCCGTCTGGCTCCAGAGGCTGTTGTCTTATTCACTGTTCTAAATGCTACTGGAGAGTTACTGACAGAGCTGGTGGTACAATAACGACAATCTTCAGAAGCGGAACTGCGAAAATTTCACAGATTGAAGTTGCAGTGAGCTCAGAACTCTATATTCCATTCATTCTGCTTTGAACTTGAGCTAATTACCTCCTGAGCACAAACAGATAACCCCAAGAAGAGACATAACTACACTTTTTAGAAGGTTAAGGTTGGTGGTTGTGGAATTATCACTGCATATTATTTTTGCAGTTACTATAACACACATCATTTTGTGTGTGTGTGTGAGGAAGATCAGCCCTGTGCTAACATCTGCCAATCCTCCACTTTTTTTGCTGAGGAAGACTGGCGCTGGGCTAACATCCATGCCCATCTTCCTCCACTTTACATGGGATGCTGCCACAGCATGGCCTGCCAAGCGGTGCGTCGGTGCACGCCCGGGATCCCATGCCCATCTTCCTCCACTTTATATGGGATGCTGCCACAGCATGGCCTGCCAAGCGGTGCGTCGGTGCACGCCCGGGATCCGAACTGGGATACCCCGGGCCGCCGCAGCGGGGTGCACGCACTTAACCGCTTGCGCCACCGGGCCGGCCCCATATAACACACATCATTTTTATCTTAACCACCACAAAACATCACCAGATGTTAGCCACTGGAAAGACTGGAATTTTCCTGCTAATTTAACACTTTATTTTTAAACTGAAATCATTATTATTTCAGGTGACAGGTTTGAAATCACTTTTTTTTTCAGAACAGCAGCCAAAAACACCCTCACTTTAGTCTTAACATTTCTTGCTTATTATAAATAACCAGGAGATTTATTTAACTATACATTTCTACATTCTTAATTGAATAGAAATAGCTTATTGTCCTGTTTGCCTATTCCTAAAATAGTATTAAAGAGTATTGTTAATTTTTCTCTTAAGATTCACTTTGCAGGTAAAGTTAAGAATGTTCTAGATACATCTTGCACAGTGGGTTTGGTTTAAGTACTATAGACCAGAAGCAGATCCCTAAGGTAGTAATTCACCCTCATTTTACCCTTTTGCTAAAATTTAGTGCTTCTAGCATCATAGTCTATAAAGTTATAGTTTTAGATATACATTTACCGACCTTTGAAGGCAGCTGACAGGAATCTGTTGTCTCTTTAAATAGTAGTATTATGACCAGATCCATATCCCTCTGAAACGCGGCAGGAAAGCTCAAAGTTACTTAGAGTAAAAATCTGACACCTTATATTTCAGTTACTTAAATACTGAGAGTGTATCTTCTTTTAGGTTCCAGGAAGCAGTCTCTGCCCAACAAGCTCACTATTTTAAAACACACACACACACACACACACACACACATACACAATTAAGACATAGAAGTGCCAATAACAGAAAAAATATTAAACCCTCAGTGCTCTGAGGCTGTTTACTCTTGGTGGAAATGTCTCCCCTCCCCCGCCTGCTCAGTAGACACTCAACTTCAGAATGGCAAGGAGTTATTTGAAAGTTTCCATGATACCACTTCTGGGCTTTCATTTAAAAGAAGGAGCCACATAGCCTTGTTTCCTGGGATGTCTTTTTAAGGACAGAAGTTGAAAAACTCTAGCACACAATGGACTCGCGGAAAAATACATCTGTATATTCTTCTCCCATTTAGAATCCTTGTGATGACAAACGCCACAGAGACATTTGGTCTAAAGAGAAAACCTGTGATCGCTTACCAAAATTCTTGGTAATAGGACCCCAGAAAACTGGTGAGAACTTTTTATGTTGTGATTAACCAAACAGTAAAAATCCTGATGGTTAGACAATGAGTTCTTGTCACAATGAGTTCTTGAAGATCCTATAAATACGGATGAATGAATAACACATTTTATTCTCTGACATAATCTTTGTTTAGCATGATAATATACTTAAATGCTTGTCAAAGAGCTTTTTAAAGTGAAAAGGGTGAAAATAGATGTCACACAATTTGAATATCCAGCAGTCAATTTGGTGGCAAATGTTATTTTTTCCCGAACGTCTTAATTGAAAAGTGTTGTTATTATTAACATTTCTAAAATCAAAACTAATCATGTGTTTAGAGAGTGATTGACAGGATTTCATTAAAAGTCAAGATGGACATGTACAAATTCCTATAACTCTTTATAATAAATCCCTCCCAGGGCCAGTCCGGTGGCGCAGCGGTTAAGTGCACGCACTCGGCTTCAGTGGCCAGGGGTCCGGTTTGGACCCGGGGCGCGCACTGATGCACCGCTTGTCAAACCATGCTGTGGCAGCATCACATATAAAGTAGAGGAAGATGGGCACAGATGTTAGCCCAGGGCCAATCTTCCTCAGCAAAAAAGAGGAGGGTTGGCATCAGATGTTAGCTCAGGGCTGATCTTCCTCGCAAAAAAAACAAATAAATAAATCCCTCCCAGAAAAATAGCTTTTTCCTGCCATCTTCCTGATGTGGTTTATTTCTAAACTATTTCTTGCAGAGATGTCTGTTTTCTAAAAGCCTAAGCGATGTTTGAAAAGCAGAATTCCTAGACATAAACAAAACCGTGCTAAGAAAGGTATTTACTTACACCCAGGAGAAATCTTCTGCATCTTTTCTTAAATTGGTGTGCGATTTTTTTCCATAAACTTCTTGTTTTTGTAAGAATCAGTATTAAAATGAAGCTTTAAAATGCCAGACATTCATGCTGTATCCTGCATGATAAATTGTTTGGGGCCATTGATTTTTGGCTTCACAGAAAACATCCATTTCAACCATATCCCTTCCTAAGGGGAATACATTCCCTTTCCTCATTTCTCTAGAAATAACTGGAGAGAATTCTATGTAATGTACACAGAAAGTTTAGCCTATTCATTTTCTCTTAGTCCCATTTGCAAATATCAATCTGAAAACAATAATAAATATGACAAATACTTCTCTTGTCCTTGTTCATTTCCCTGGGCCTTATCTATTTAAAGTCAGGAGGTAACTAGAAAAACATTTAAACTGAAGTCTGTTCAGCGAACTCCCACTGTCATCACCCAGCTTTGTCGTTACTGATCACATCTTCTCTCTGAAGCTCGGCCTGTCGAGTTTGCTTCCGAGAGCCCTGCAGGATACACTTCCTCTTGTGTTGTGTGAGATATGCAGACATTTTAATACCAGACTTAGATGGCAGAATAATTACTTGTCATCTCAAACTCAATTGGGTTTAAAATATTTATGTTACAATTTGTATATGACATTTACCTTTGGAAGGGAATTTTTTATCTCCTCTTTATAGAAATTGAGTTTTTTCCCAGTTTTAAAGTATAATTTACATGCAATAAAATTCACCCATTTTAAATACACAGTTTGATGAATTTTGGAAATTGTACACAGTTGTGAAGCCACCACAGTATTCAAGATACAGAACACTTCTGTCTCCCTAAAAAAGTTTCTCCACGTCCCTTTGCAGTCAACTCCCCCTCTCCCATCCTCAGCCACAGGCAACCACTTTCTGCCACCATAGTTTTGCCTTTTTTTGGAATTCCATATAAATGGAAGTATAAAGTGTGTAATCTTTTGTGTTTGAGTTCTTTTCACTAAGCATAATGCTTTTGAGATTCATCCATATTGTTTTGTATATTGATATTTTGTGAAATTGATTTTTTAAGTGGACATATCAGTTTCCTAAAAATTAAATAGCTTCATTTTTACCTTACTTTTGTCAAAAGTATTTTTCTGAATAATCTTGCATAGATGTATAGTCATCTAGATATGCAAATATTTTTACTGTTGTAACTGACAAAAATATAAAAACTGAAGTTTTGTGGATGGTTATTTGAATGTGTATGTCTATGATTATGTAGTTGATACACACACACACACATACACACTATACATATTCAAATACATACACATACACACAGGACAGATTATTCAGACCCAAGAATATGTGTAGGTAAAGACAGAATTCAGAAACTACAACTTAACAATTTTTTGACCACTGATAAATTACATTATGCCTTTTACTGACTATGCAAACAATTAGATCATATCTATTTTTTCTGTTTGTATTATTAATGCTGGTCATGCTATTAAAAGGAAACAACACGATTTAATACAATTCACAATTCTTAAAAATGAATTTGAGAAAATAATATTTTCAGTTGATCTAAGTAAGGAATTAATCTGTTTTCTTTTTTCATGTTATAATTGCCATACTTATTATCCTCACAAAGATTTTATTCTTTTGATTTTTTTTAAAAAAATGCATTACCGAATTTTATCTCAATAAATTTGTTATTTTAAAAAATACCTTACTAACATTCAGAAATGGAACTATTTAAGTACTTTCACATAGGTTATCTCACTTTACCCTCATAAAACCCTGATAGCTAAGTACTTTCTTCCCCACTATACAGAAAAGAAAACTAAGACTCAGGTTAGATATTTTTTGTTCAAGTTCACACAGCTGGTAAGTGCAGAAATAAAACTCCTGATCCTAGAATTTACCTGACTCTAAAGACCACATTCTAGAAAGCTTTACTCTACTACGGATTTCAAGTAATGGAACTTTTTTTTCCCAGTAAGTTTTAGTTTTTGTCCCAGTCAGTGATTTCTCAGAATGTGCTGAATTAGAAACTCTGGGATTTAACTCTCTGTGTTTTAGCAAGCCCTCCAGGTGAATCTGTAGCATGCTAAAGTTTGAGAAACACTGTTTTTAATTCAAGCTTGCAAAGAACATTTTTACTTTGTATATCGTAGATTACTGTTTCATTCCCTACAATTATCTGTGACTGTAGACAAAATGTTCATTGTTTGGCTCAGATATAATCTAGGAAAACTGCCTCTTTCATTTCATTGTTTTAGACAATATTACTGTTGGCAGAGTTATTTTAACAATTTTTCTGTTGTATTGATATGGTAGATTTGAGTACAATGCTAAATAAAGCTTATCAGAGAGATAAGAAAATTCAAAATTTGATACAGATGGTAACATTATTACTAAACAAAATTAGAACAGTAATTTCTCCAAGTGAGAGAAATATTACAAGGCCATGTCTGGCTACCATTGCTAGCTATTGACCTGGAATACAATTAACAGGTCCAGCTGCAGTACATTGTATACTAATGTAAATCACATTAGAGTAGAGAAGTGGAAACTCAAGGGTGTTTCTACCTTAACAGTACTGAATACATAGACCAGAAATATTTTTATATTATGATCTTATAAACACAGTTACAGTTGCAAGCACCTGGTTAAATCTTAGGCAAGCTGAACTCAGATTGCCTTACTGTCTCTTATAGCAGTCTAACTGAGCTATACCCTTTAGCTCATAACTTAGGCTCTAAACTACAAATGTTACAGTTTATGACATTGCTCACTTAAAAAACAATTACACCAACAAATAAAGCCCAAAGTTAGTAGAAGGAAGAAAATAATAAAGATCAGAGAGGCCAGCCAGATGGTGTAGTGGTTAAGTTTGCACTCTCTGCTTTGGTGGCCCAGGGTTCGCAGGTTTGGATCCCAGGTGCAGAACTACACACCGCTCATCAAGCCATGCTGTGGCAGCGTCCCACATACAAAATAGAGAAGGGTTGGCACAGATATTAGCTCAGGGACAACCTTCCTCAAGCAAAAAGAGGAAGATTGGCAACAAATGTTAGCTCAAGGCCAATCTTCCTCACCAAAAAATAAAAAGATAAAGATCAGAGTGGAAATAAATGAAATAGAGACTAAAAAAACAATAGAAAAGATCAATGAAACTAGGAGCTGGTTCTTTGAAAAGATAAACAAAATTGACAAACCTTTAGCTAGACTCACCAAGAATAAAAGAGAGGGCTCAAATAAATAAAATCAAAAATGAAGCAGTAGAAGTTACAACTTGTACCACAAAAACACCAAAGATCATAAGAGACTACTATAAACAATTATATGCCAATAAATTGAGCAACCTAGAAGAAATGGATAAATTCCTAGAAACAAATCTTCCAAGACTGAATCATGAAGAAATAGAAAATCTGAATAGACTGATTACTAGTAAGTAGATTGGATCAGTAATAAAAAACCTCCCAACAAACAAAATTCCAGAACCAGATGGCTTCACTGGTGAATTCTACCAAACATTCAAAGAATCATTAATATCAATCCTTCTCAAACTCTTCCAAAAATTTGAAGAGGAGGGAATGCTTCCAAACTCATTTTGTGAGGCCAGCATTATCCTGATACCAAAACCAGGCAAGAATGCCATGAAAAAAGAAAATTACAGACCAATATCCCTGATGAACACAGATGCAAAAATCTTCAACAAAATATTAGCAAATCAAATTCAACAATACATTAAAAGGATCATACACCATGATAAAGTGGGATTTATTCCAGGGGTGCAAGGAAAGTTCAACTTAAAAATCAATCAACATGATACACCACATTAACAAAATAAAAAACTAATATCATATGATCATCTCAGTAGAAGCAGAAAAAGCATTTGACAAAATTCAACATCCATTTATGAAAAAAACACTCAACAAAGTGGGTATGGAGGGAACATATCTCAACATAATAAAAGCCAAATATGATAAACCCACAGCTAACATCATACTCAATGGTGAAAAGCTGAAAGCTTTTCCTCTAAGATCAGGAACAAGACAAGGGTGCCCACTCTCACCAGTTTTATTCAACATATTATTGGAAGTCCTAGCCACAGCAATTAGGAAAGAAAAACAAATAAAAGGCATTCAGATTGGACAGGAAGAAATAAAACTGTCACTATTTGCAGATGACATGATATTATATATAGAAAATCCCAAAGACTTCACCAAAAAACTTGTAACTAATAAATGAATTTGGTAAAGTTTCAGGATACAAAATCAATGTACAGAAATTAGTGACATTTCTATACATTAATAACAAACTATCAGAAAGAGAAATTAAGAAAACAATCTCATTTACAATTGCATCCAAAAGAATAAAATACCTAGGAATAACTTTAACCAAGGAGGTAAAGACCTGTACACTGAAAACTATAAGACATTGATAAAAGAAACTGAAGAAAAAAATAAATGGAAAGATATTCCATGCTCATGGATTAGAAGAATTAATATTGTTAAAATGTCCATAGTACTCAAAGCAATCTACAGATTCAATACACTCCCTATATCGAAACTCCAATGCCATTTTTCACAAAACTAGAACAAATAATTATAAAATTTGTATGGAACCACAAAGGACCCCAAATAGCCAAAGCAATCTTGAGAAAGAAGAACAAAGCAGAAGGCATCATGTTCCCTGACTTCAAACTATACTACAAAGCTATAGTGATCAAAACAGTATTGGCATAAAAAGAGACATGCAGATCAATAGAACAAAATAGAGAGCCCAGAAATAAACCCATACATACATGGACAATTAATTTATGACAAAGGAGCCAAGAATATACAATGGGAAAAGAATAGTCTCTTCAATAAATGGTGTTAGGAAAACTGGACAGCCACATGCAAAAGAATGAAACTAGGCTACTATCTTACACCATACACAAAATTAACTCAAAATGGATTAAAGACTTACATCTAAGACCTGAAACCATAAAATTTCTAGAATAAAATATAGGCTGTAAGCTCCTTGACAGGGGTCTTAGTGATGTTTTTTTGGATCTGACTCCAAAGGCAAGGGAAACAAAAGCAAATATAAACAAATGGGACTACATCAAACTAAAAATCTTCTGCACAACAAAGGAAACCATCAACAAAATCAAAAGGCAACCTACTAAATGGGAGAAGATATCATATATCTGATAAGCAGTTAATATCCAAAATATATAAAGAACTCGTATAACTCATCAACAGAAAACAACCCAATTAAAAAATGGACAGAGGATCTGAATAGACATTTTTCCAAAGAAGATATACAGACAGCCAACAGGCACACGAAAAGATGTTCAACATAATTAATTACCAAGGAAACGCAAATCCAAACCACAATGAGATATCATCTCAGACCTGTTAGAATGGCTATTACCAAAAAGATGAGATATAACAAGTGTTGGAGAGAATGTAGAGAAAAGGGAAGGTTTTCGCATTGTTGGTGGGAATGTAAAGTGGTGCATCCACTATGGAAAACAGTATGGAGATTCCTCAAGAAATTAAAAATCGAACTACCATGTGATCCAGCAATTCTACTTCTAGGTATTTATCTGAAGAATATGAAAACATTAAATCAAAAAGATATATGCACCCCTATGTTCACTGCAGCATTATTTACAATAGCCAAGGTATGGAAACAATGAAGTGTCCATTGATTGATGTATGGATAAAGAAGTTGTGGTATATATACATACAATGGAATAGTCCTCAGTCGTAAAAAAAAGAGGGAAATCTTGCCAGTTGTGACAACATGGATAGACCTTGAGGGTACTACGCCAAGTGAAATAGGTCAGATGAGAAAGACAAACACTGCATGATTTCACTTATATGTGGTATCTAAGAACAAAACAAACAAACGAAACAAAACAAAAACAAAAAACTCATAGATACAGAAAACAGATTGGTGGTTATCAGAAGGGAAGTGAGTTTGGGGGGTGAGCAAAAAAGGTGAAGGGGGTCAATTGTATGGTGACGAATGGTAACTAGACTTATGGTGATGAACACTATGTAGTGTATACAGATATCAAATTATACTGCTGTACATCTGAAACTTATATAATGTCGTATAGCACTATTATCTCAATGAAAAAAAAAAGCTGGCCAAATAAAAAAATCAGGCCCTTGATCCCCAATAGTCACAAATCTATATGGGTACCTGTGATATATCATTCTCTTTCCAAAAAAAGTAAATTTTGTTAAGTTATGTCACTAAGAAAGGGCACTATTTTTTTTTCAAATTTAACAATTTAAACAATTTTTGACACTACTTTTTATAAGTATGTAAGTGCATTCAGACTTAAATTTGTTGAAAGTTTAAATTCTATCTCAAATTTAAAGCTTTCATAGGCCTCAGGAAGAACTTTATAGGAGAACCCAAGTATGGATTTTGGTAATGTAGTATCTTATATTAAATAATGATATTTTTCATTTATATAGTGCTTTATTAATATCAAAATATCTTCAGGTACAATAGCTCATCCTCAGAGAAAGCCTGTGAAATAAGCAAGGCAGGTGATTTTCCACTAATAAAGCCAAGACAGAGAGAAGCTAAAAGCCAAAGACACAGACCAAATCCATGACTGAGCTGAGGTCACAAGCCAGTTCCCTGAGTCCCTGCAACAGGCCTCTCCTCATATCACTCTCTCCTCATTTTTTAGAATTTGCTTGTTTTAAAATGCTGATTATCTATTCAATTTAATTCAGGGAGTACTTAAATGTATCTGTTTGGACCATTGTGACACTTGGTTTATTAATGATTTTGAAATGCTAATAGGAGGAAACTGTGTTTTCATTTAATTAATCTCTACACCTCTGTTGTCTTTTCAGGAACCACTGCTCTGTATTTGTTCCTGGTTATGCATCCTTCCATCCTTAGTAACTCCCCCAGCCCAAAAACCTTTGAGGAGGTACAGTTCTTTAATAGAAATAACTACCACAGGGGGATTGATTGGTAAGATGGGTTATTAGTATCGATCTAAAAGTATATGTACTGTGCACAGTATAAAATTAGCGCTAATATTTACACACATATAAGTTTACAGCCACAAATAAAAGTTATCTTCTGTGCCTTGGAAATTGAATAACATGAGGGAGAACAGAAATTATTAATAAAAAACTTTTCTCAGTTTATGAATGGACTTGTCGCCTCAAGAGGCCCACATGTAATTCCAATTTGCAGTGATTATCTGTGATAGTAATTACAGATATGAAGTCAGAGAAATGCTGTAATACCCAGGAATTTCATTCCTCTCTACTCTTAGGAAAATACTTCCATAGCTTTCTCTTCTTATGCACTTTGCATTAAAGTGATGCTACAGTCCACATATACAATTTTCTATTTTGCTTTGGCATAAAAGGTAAATAAATAAATAGAACTAGAAATGCATACATGTTTCATGAGTAATGAAAGCTATAAAAAAGCTATCAACAATATACGAAATTTAATTTTTGGTCTTTGAATTGAAATTAGAACTATGTCAACCATCTTAGGAAAATATTTAAATTCAAACTAAAAATTAAAATGTCAGATATACACAAAATATAGTAATGTAGTAGGAATAGATGTCGCAAATGAACATTTTAATCATAAACTGTATCTAGAAGTCTTGCTGTTACGGTATAAATTCTGGGGGAAAAGGTGGTATAAAAGAGTGGAATTCTTGTAATAATTCTAGATCATGAACATAAACATTTTGCATGTATTTTAACATAAAAGTTATTAAAATTAACCTCTGTTGTCATATTGCATGACCTCAATTTTATAATTATCCACCATCTCAAGAGTTGCTCGTGGGCAGTCCAAATGGAAAGATAAAGAAATAGATTGAGTGTCAGTTGAGCACCTACTAGGACTTACGTATATTCGGATCGTTATATGTTTCACTGCCAGTTCTTCAGTATAGTGCTTGATACTGATTAGTTGTGTAGTGTTAAATAACAGCTGTGAGAATCAAAAAACTATCAACTAATTTAGCTGCTATTTGACCATAGACTCAAACATATATGCCTGTATGTAGTAGAATAGAAGGATGTTAACTTCAGGACCAAAGGGAGTGATTAAAAACTGCTTTAAAAGTGAAGAGGAATGCAATACTTGGATTCCCTGAGACTTAAGAATGTCTGTGAGAATAATCAATTTAAAAAAGAAAAAAAAAAGCTGTTCCTAAGCCAGTAATGTGTATAAGCTCTATGACAGGAGCAAAAAGTCCCTTCAGCAGTTTACAAAGAGATGACATGAATAAGTAGAAAGCTAAAGAGCAATTAAAGATTTTAATTATAACTCGCTAAAAACACCCCAATTGCAAACACTTTTGATTGACAAACGATGTGTTTATAAAAGGCAATTAACACAAAAACAAATAATAGTAGCTGCAAATGTCAATCTATTAGCAATAACTGTAGCTTCCCTATCAACGACATCAAATGTATTCACAGTTCTCAGACTGGCCTTGCCTCCCCGGGAAGTGTCAGCACCTCAGCAGTCCCTTTGGGACCACAGAGCCACAAGGTTGAAGATTATGTGTCTCAGCGTGCCAAGTCACTTACAGAATTGACCCAGGCACAGCTAGTTAATCTGGATACATGGATCTGCTTTTCTTGGAGAACTGGGCAAAACCAGTCTTAACTGACAGGCAGCCAAAACACAGGCTTAGGGCACAAGCAAAGTAGAGCAAATGAAAATGAGAAAACTCCATCTTTAATAAAATAGCCAAGATTTGTAGTCAGAAGATCTAAGAAAAGTGTTTGATTTATGCATACAGTAAAGTTTTATATTTTATGGTTCAGTAGTATTTTTTATAATTACATGGGGCTGCAGTGGAGGGTTGGAGCGGTCCTTGGAGAGTCATAAAATCCTGTTAGCATTTAAAACCTCTAAACGTCTTAATCTGGCTTTGAGTAAAATCACTGAGAAATACTCAGGGTCAACCCAAGTAACATATAAATGTGGAGCATTGCAAAAATCACACCTTTCAGTTAAAAAAAATTGCTGATGGGGGCCAGCGCAGTGGCTGAGTGGTTAAAGTTCCACGCACTCCATTTTGGCAGCCCAGGTTCGTGGGTTCATATCCCAGACGCGGACCTACTCCACTCGTCAGCCATGCTGTGGAGGCATCCCACATACAAAATAGAGGAAGATTTGGCATGAATGTTAGCTCAGGGCTAATCTTTCTCACCAAAAAGAAAAATCGCTGAAGTTTTATGGAAGTAGCAAAGCTTTAAATGAGACAGGCATTCACTTTTAACCCCCAAATTGTTAAACTACTCTAGTTTGCTCACCAATTCTTTGGATAAACAGAATTCATATTCTCCAAATGTGGACCTATTTCCACCCTGGAAATATGAAACTGAATTCTTTTTATTTACTTGTTTATTCATCAAGCATTTTTCAAGTGTGTGTAAGTGCCAGCCACTATACTAGAAAAATGTGGGCAGATAAGCAAACAAGAACAGGCCCCTGCTCTCTCCATGAGCCTCGGGGCCAAGCAAAAACACAAATTACAGGTCCAAGATCCAGAACTGCTTGAGGTTTCCAAGGCCTCAACTGTTCCAGGAATAGAGGACTGCTGGGCAGCTGGGACAGTTTTTAGAAACTAAAAGTTATGTGAATTCAGTACCTTCTGCCCTTCTTTTGTGATTTTTGGAGGCTTTCTCAGAATAAAGAAACTTGAGACAAGCTTGGACCAAATTAAGATACCACTGGACACTTGGGATAACCTTAGCACTCCTGGAACCAGTGTGAGCATCTAAATTAAGAAGGATCCTGAAACTTGGCATTTTCTGTAAATAGAATATATACCAGAACAGATAGTAGATCAAACTTTCCAGAAAGTTTTGTATCTCTCTCTCCCTAAAAGGATGCCAGAATGACATAACGCTAATAAGCCGATTTCCTGAAAACATAAAAGGATTTCTTTACTGCCCCGAGTTTTAAGACATCACTTCTTTGTACAAGCCAAACTTTGCAGTATGTTAACAACTAGAATCCTACCAGCTTTACCATGTGAGAGAACTAAAAGAATACAACCAACTGCAAGAAGTCATCACATAAATGTCAGTGACTCTCTGGTTCAGTAATTATTGAACCACCTTGTCTCAGTAGCCCGAAGTCATGGTGGCTTACGAATTGAAGGGGGAAGGTTGAGGCCATTATTATAAAATGTAAGAAACCCTACAAGTTAAATTTGTGTGTTCTCTCTCAAAAGACCCTTTTCCCTCTGAAAGGTGTCCTTTAGTGCTTCAGAAATACCTATTATCATATGCTGAATTAGTTTATATTTGACAACTTTGGTACAGATAGGACATTCTACAAAATGCATTATGTCCTCATTTCCGTGCTTGAGGCACAGGATTCCTGTGTGCCCTCTGCTGGTGATTTGAATTCTCACCTCACTTAAGGATACAGGACCTGACCTTGGGGAATTGATAGGACTTTATATTTGGAAATATGTACATACTTTTTAAACTTTTATAATTATTCTAAAGAGTATAAATGGCTCTATATGGAAAAAAAAATAAGCAAATAGGCAATGTTTACACCAGACCTGTTCTGCACTTTGACACTTTATGGTTGAATGTGACAGCAGCACAACACATTAGCGGGAATGAAATTATTTTACTTATGATGAAGTAAAAAATGTTTTGCAGAAGTCCTTTTAAAATGTCTTTCAACTGAAAATATCATCTGTTTTAATCAAATTTTCTTTTTGGTTGAGCACTCACATTTTTCTCTGTAAAGTATTTCTGCATTTAGACACATTTTATATAGTTAGGTTGATTATTGTTGCAGTGTGATCACTCTGTGTCTACATTTTTGTTATCTCCCATACCTTTTTTCTTGATATTAAGCAAAACAAATAGACAATGTATTTAGAAAAGCATTTTGAAAATACATTATTAGTGTTCTGTATATATTAGTGTTCTGTATATTTTTCCTTTGCTAACTGTTTGAGACAAATGTCTTAAAGAAAAAGGCTTTGTTTAGGAAACAAACCAATTTGTGGGAAACCTTTAACATCTTCAGTCACCAGGGTATGAGTATAAATCAGAGTCTTATTTTGAGAAATATTCCTTTTCTAGGTATATGGATTTCTTCCCAGTCCCATCCAATGTCACCACTGACTTTCTATTTGAGAAGAGTGCCAATTACTTCCACTCAGAGGAAGCCCCTAAAAGAGCAGCTTCTCTGGTCCCCAAAGCCAAGATCATCACCATTCTCATCGACCCATCAGACCGAGCATATTCCTGGTACCAGGTAAGGAAAATACAGACAGAATCCAGCAGGTAGAAGGGGAGTATGGAGAAGGGAGGAAGGTTTTCAGCAATAGCCACAACCTCAGGTTTTAACAAAAGAGATTTGCTGTTTTACATGTGCAGAAAGGGGATAAATTTTTCTTTGTTTCCATGGAGAAACTTTCTATTTAAGTTTTCATTAATTTTGTATTCAATTCCTTAATAAAATATATTAATGCAATGAAGAAATTAAAATAGAACAAAATATTATGTACTTGTATGTATATCTGTGCTTCTATACATCTGCACTTTAAGTGAAATTTATAATAATTTAAAATCATTATTTTTCATCTAATACATGTGTAATGCTGCTATTATTATCTCATTTTTACAGATGAGGAGTATAATTGATTCCCTAAAGCAGAAGTCACCGGTTTTTTCTGTAAAGGGCCGGAGAGTAAATATTTCAGGCTTTGCAGGCCATATGGTTGGTCTCTGTTGGAACTTTGCCATTATACTGCAAAAGCAGCCATAGACAATATGTAAATTAATGAGTTTAGCTGTGTTCCAATAAAACTTTATTTACAAAAACAAGCATCAGGCCAAATTTAGCCCATGGGCAATAGATTGATGACCCTGACTCTAAAAGAACTTAAATAACTGCTTCTACTGAAGAAATAACTTAGTAGCAACACTAAATATAAGAATTCTTCATCCTTGAAAGCCTAGCCAGTCTAAACCTTGTTCTAAGCCTCTTTCTCATACATTCATTGCCATTATGTTTCTGATGTTGGTTAGAACCTAGCACAGGAACGACCAATTTGAAATAATTTAACAGACTCTAATAATAATACTTATACACCAAATACATTTTCACTTGAATAAATCATTAAAAATAATAAGAAAAAAAAAAACCTGTCCCAGTGATATTTAAATCACCAAGTGGAAAAAGTTCAATAAAAAGCAGTCAAAATTAAATATAAGAACACAACAAAATTAATAGAGACAGTGTCTTTAGTCTCCAGGATCCTTAGTTATCATTCCTCAGTTTTGTAATTCAAAAAACACTTTCCTAATGTTCATGTGTTCATCCATTCATTAAATAATTTTAATGACTGCCATGTGGAAAGTATTGTTCTAAGTATGATTTGAAGATGAATTCATAAATGTGGATGCCACACTCGAGACTGCTTTCAGTCTTGGAGAAATATGTATAAATAATCAGTGTATAAATTAGAAATAAATTAGAAAGTATTGAGTGACAGGTAGACTTCTGCAGAATGATAAAGCCCATCTGATAAAGACCGTGACGGACAAGTTACCTATATTAATTGGCTGCAGCAGAGGAGACCAAGCACCAGAAGAACCATTGGGTATTTTCCTAAAGGAGGGAAGGATTTGTAATGGGAGAAATTTAGGTAAAACTAAAATGGAGCATTTTAATAAGCAGGGCTGTGTGGAAGGGGGTTATCAGCAGGTCAGGGCTGAAAAGCAGATTGAGGGTCTTATTTCCTCGGAAACTAGAAAGTGAAGATAAGTGTGGAATGTTGTGTCCCAAACGCCTTACCTGAAACTCTACACTTGGGCTGGAAATAAGGCTGCTTCTCTGTATTAAAGCGACCCACATAGCTCAGATCCTCCAGGCAAGAGTGGGGTGTTCCATTCTCACTGACAGGATTTCAAACAGCTAAATGCCTGACAGTCTACGATATTGGAGAATCAAGTTTCTCAGCACTGGGTCCTTTTGTTATTTAACAAAAACAGCTTTTCCAGGTTTACCAGAGAAAGAACGGATTGTCAGGAAAGGTTTTGTGGTGGGGACAGAGTGGGGAAAGGTCATATAAAGCAGACAGATCTTAGATAGGCATACTGATAATCAACTGCATAATAGGGACTGAGACAACCTGGAAAGCTGAAATCCACAATTCCACACTAATCATTCATGCCAAACTCCTAGAGCCATCTTCTAAATCAAAATATACAGCAAATTGCAAATTGACTGATTTCATTTTGCACCTTTTACCTTTTCCACCAGGTATCTGGAGAAAAGAGAAATAAGCCTTAATTGACTCAAAGAGAAAGAAGAAAATTGGAGCTTGGCAACCACTTAGCCCCTGAAAAATTGAGAATGTACTGAAAAATGAGGTTTCAAGGCTGCAAGCTAACAAAACGTCCTAAATATTACAAATAAATCACTCCACAGTGGCCAAATGCAGGCCTTAATAAAGTCTAGTCGAGTTCTTAGTGCAGTAATTTGAATCTCAACTGCAGCAAATTTGCTATTCAGCTGGATGTGGTAAACATCCGCAACCCACTGCTAAGCCTGAATATTTATGGGGCAATTTAAGGAAAAGGTGATTTTCTCAAACCCGTGGGCCTGAGCCAGAGCCATTATGAAACCCTTTCCTGTTTGGATTGCTGCTTTCTGCATTTTCTGTACAATAAATGATTCTGATTCATCACAAAGGTTACCATTAGGTAAAATAATCTTGGCTTTTAGAAGCTAGGTAGTATATGATAAAAGCTGCGGATTTTGTATAACATACATGTCAAAGTTTTCAGTAGTTTCTCCATTTAAATAGCCGATAGGGCTTTTCTATCTAAAACTGCATTACTAGATGGAGCAAAACTCTGGCAGAACAAGCAGAGTGCTGGTGCATTATGGATACTCACTGGACATGATAAATGGTTTGCTTATGGGCTGAAAAGGGGGCATTAACGCAACTTTCAAAAGTTTACTTTCAGAATAAAATAGATACACTAAGGAAAAGACTCAGTAAAGTTGGTTAAGGAATCCTATCAATACGAATTCAGTTCTCAAAAGTATACTCTCAGCATCACAACTTGAAATCCTGATGCTCCGAGCAAATATTTTCATCCTTTATTAATTGCAAACCAAATACCTCTCCAGCAGTGAGGCCCTCCTTCCCTTACGTTTGAAATTTGTCCCAGAGATTGGTTTTTAATTATTTATGCCTGTGGTTCAAGTTAGTTTAATTATCCACCTTTTCATTGTAGCATCAGCGATCGCACGAAGACCCCGCCGCTCTGAAGTTTAGCTTCTACGAAGTGATCTCAGCCGGACCCCGGGCGCCCTCGGAGCTCAGAGCCTTGCAGAAGAGATGTTTGGTCCCAGGGTGGTATGCCAGCCACATCGAGAGATGGCTTGTTTATTTCCCCCCGTTTCAGGTATTGAGCAATAAGAATTTACATCATGTTACAATCCCATTAAGTTGATGACTTTGCCTCTATGATAGAGGAAATTTTTACTCATTAAAACATTACTAGCTTTTATTCTTTAGTTGTAAATAATGAGACTGTGGCAAAGAATAATAGATAGGCAGAGGTAGAAAAACTGTTTAATTTTCCTTCTAAAAGTATTTCAGGATAATTCTCCCTGCTCTATTTTCTAGTATATACGTTTCCTGATTGTAAAGAGCTTCAACAGCTTCATATCCCTGATTCTTATTCTGAGAGTAAAGCTTGAGAACCTCTTAATCACACAAGACAAATATTGTTTTGCTTAATTAAGTGCCATTATTTCCCTTTGAACCACCTTGCTGAATTTTTCATAAGTCCTGCGTTTTTCTTGGCTTCCTTGTGTCTCTCTTTTGCCTGGCATCAACCTAGATTACAAAATCAGCCCCAAGATTGGATTGCAGAAAGCAGTCCAGTCACATCAGATATGGTGTGTCCTGTGTGTCTAGAACCATGCTTTCCAATATGATAGCTGCTGTGACATGTGGCTATTTAAATTTATGCTAAAATTATATAAAACTAAAAGTTCAGTTCCTCAATCACATTAGCCACATTTCAAATGCTCAATAGCCACCTGTTAGACACCACAGCTGTAGAACATGGCCATCGTCACAGAAATTTCTATTGAACAATGCTGGTCTAGACTAACTTGAAATATTGGAGAAGAGGTGTGAGCAAGAGTTGCATTGCAGGCTTTGTGGCCCTCCATCATCTCCTGTCAATTTATGTTGCTGGGTCCACCCCCCTCCCTCGCCAGAGTAACAAGCAAATTCTTCCGCTTAGTCTGTGGAGGAACTTCTGTCCACATTCACATTCTCTGGGAGTCGTACTTTTTCTTCCGAATAGATTATCAAAGTATTTCTTAAATCTTTACAGTGCTACCCCTTTAAATGGAATCATGGAGAATGATGTTTCCTCTGTCTCATTACACCTGGTCTTATTATAACCATTTTTCTTTTTCTACAGTGCTCCTTCCCAGCTTCAATGATGGAATCATTGTTTTGTCTGTTTGTAAACTTGGTTTCCATTTGTAATTCTGCAGTCGTATTTCTTAAACTGTCTTGGTCCCCTCACGTGGCTTTTTTGTTTTCATAGTGTTTGCAGGACTTCTCAGATTACAAAACATGACTGCATTTAATTAGTGTGATTTATTTCGTGTTCCAGGTCATTAATGAGGATGGCCTGGTTAAGTCTAACAAGAATGCATGCAAATCCCCAGTACAATGTCTCTCACTGAATAAATTCTGAGTGCAGAAATTTTTTATTGTGCAGTTACATGACTTTTTTCAATGTGCATTGTCTTTGTTTTTTTATTTCTTTGGTAATTTAGTTGCTAATTATCGATGGGCAACAGCTAAGAACTGATCCTGCTACAGTGATGGATGAAGTACAGAAGTTTCTAGGAGTCTCTCCTCATTATAATTATTCAGAAGCTTTAACGTAAGTTTATATTCTAATTAATTTATTGAAATTTCAGCAGAGAACTGGTTTTAAAGAAATTGTAGTTTGGTGATACAACCGTTGAGTTAGCTGCTTCTTACATGCTGATTATTTTCCAGTTTGACATTAACTACTTGGGAAAGAACGTTTCAACAGTATGGCAAAGAAACGTCCTAAACCATCTGTTGATTTCTAACTATGAAAGATTTCCCCTGGAAGGAAAGCAGAGAAACAGTTATAAATCTCAAAACCAACAACTAACCTTAGAAGAGGCTATTTAAATTAAGTTGGTGAGCGCTAAGCCTATTTAACAGACAATATCGGGACCTCTTGGAAGTGTAAAGAGGTGATTACGTGGTTTATGAATTCACTCCTCTCTCTCTTGTGCAGTTTTCAAAAACAATGTCATACAGCAAGAAATAGCCCAATAGGTGACTGAATAGGCAGAGAGAGATGTGCTATTATTACTCGTACCCATACTTCTATTTTTTGCTTCTTTGTCTTTACCCACTGTGTGTCTGACCCTGTCACCTAACCTTCAGAGGCCTCAGCAGTGACAGCTCTGGTTTGGTTTTCTTGTGCTGGTTCTCTCTGATTTTCTTAGGTAATTGACTCCACTGGGCGGGGACTAGGGTGAGGCAAGGGAGAGGCTTGAGGATCTACGGACTCACTCTCAGGCGTTTGCACAGCCCTGACAGTGAGTGCCTCCTTAAATCTTGCACCCCAGGTGCCTCTCTGACCTCACCTTAATCCTGACTCTGGACTTCATTCAGCATGTTACTTTGTCCATTTATAACGGTTGGCAATCAGATTTATGAGGGTTGTGTTCGTTCCTATTTCACATGCCAAGAGCGACTGGAAGATACTGAGTTGGATGGGCCGTGGCCCTGAGTCTCAGTATAATATATATATATTTTTTAATTTTAGGCTCATAGACTGAGCCTTAAAGAAACTGAAAAAGACTGTATTATGGAATTCTTCCATAGAGCTCAGTTCCATATATCAACTGATTTTCTCTTTTCCTTGTGCTTTGTATCCTGTAGCAATTTAGAAAGTGAGAGGCAGGATTCATTTACCTTTCAGCATCCCTTACAGTAAAAGACTGGCAGAAAAACATCAAATACTGCTTACATCATATGTAGAGACACGTAAGAGAGACATTTTGGTTTAGAGGACAAAGCAGTAGGTGGAATGCGAGTTCTGAGCTTGCTTCCTGAGAGTCATTTACTTTGCTGTTACTATTAACCGTCTGACCTCTGTGTTTTCTATACTACGAGTACTACCGAGCTTTGTAGAACTTAGTTCAAGTCCTAACACAGACACTAGCCTTGGGTATTGTACTTTCAGCTTGACCTTAGAGAAAGCTGAGTGATTTTAGTTTGCAGTTAGAAATTCAAGTCCACTTTCTGCTTTCTATCTTTTTAAGTATCTCTTAGAAAAGAAAGCTTTTATTTTCTAAACAAGTTTTCTATTCAAGTTGGCTTATCTTTGGGTCTTTTTTATACAATATATAGCAAAGCATTGTATTTCAGACAGGAGAAGTGGAGTGTTCTATAAAGACATCATCTCCTTTTCATAGGGAATGGTCCTTGACCTGCCCACTGGGTAATTGTCCGCTTTGCATCCAGCTCAGCAGCAAGGTTTTTATTCACCTCCTCTGCTGAGAAAAGGGAGTGTAAACTTAAGAGAAGTAATATCAAAGCAATGTACTGTTTACAAAGAACTGTGGGTCGCTTTGCACCTGGGATGTATCTGGCTACAATTACCCATTATATGATTCTCTAGCCTGGTTGGGGGCTCAGTGGGTGAAGCAGCAAGATAAGATATGTGACACCACAATTTCTGGTCCGGCAGGGCTGCCCAAGCTCTCACCCCGCTGACAGAGATAATGTACTGCCACTCAGTTTCATTGTATATTTTCTCGTCAATCATCAGTTTGCCTGACACATCTTGTAAAAACCTGCAGTGTACCTGTTGTAGAATATTTGGAATTTCATGTCATTGTCTTAGGTCTAAACTGGTCTAAATCCTCCTTCATCCATGCCCTTTGTAGATGTTCTGAATCATAATTTAGTTACTCTTGTTAAAGTAACTATACTGGTTAAGTTGCTTCTGTGGTGCTTTGGACATGTTGGGGGTGACTAGGGGTACAAAATGTATATTCTCAGCAATGTCATTTATTGCTTCATATTTTTCATGCTGGTGATAGTGAAGTATCTCTTTGGTACTTAAAAAAATATTCATTTAAAGTCCTCTAAGAATGTACTGAACTGCAAACAGATATGAATTCTCAACTAACCACATAAATCCAGTTCTTTGCACACAGTAGAATGAGTGGATGAAACTAGACCTATACAAAGGTTTTAGCAAACAATCTTGGCATCAAATACTACTCCAATTTAAGAGATCTATAAACTGATTATCTTCAATATTAAAAAATTCTAATTTCAAAACTATTTTCAAGAAAAAGGGCAAATTCCATTGTCAAGAGTGTTATTTATTCCTTTCCACAATCGCTAAAGAAAGTATTCAAGACTTCTAAATTTCCTACAGTCTTTGGGTAGTCTATATAGTCTTAAAATGATTTAGTACTGTCATCACTGATTTTAAATGACATACTGAATATGTAAAGAAAAAAAATCTGATTTTCTTAATGAATGTGGGTGTGATTTGAAATAAGCCAGTATAAGCTTTAAACAATATAAATGGGAACTTTCCCATTCAATTAAGTAAATTAGCATTTTACAATTCTTGTTCAACATAACCTTAATCCCTAAATTGTAAATAGGATTGATACACTGACATTATTTTAGCTTTTATGTTATGTGTTATATAGTGCTTTAAAGCTGAGTGATCATTTGAGAGAAAGCAAGAAAAATAATGCTTATCATGGAATTATGCTAATTTGTATAAACTAAAATGAAAAATATAAACTTTTAATTTTTCCATGAGTATATCCATTCACAATTATATCTAGCCATCAATGACCATGACAAGATTCTTCACACTTAGAAACACTAGTTAGTTAAATACCTGAAGCTAATGTCTTTATTTCTCAGTCACCTTGTTTGTTAACATGAATTTTAACATGAGTTACATGAATTTTTAATACTAATTGACTGTGAAAACTTCAATAAATGGACAATATGGATTTGAAGGCCAGGGGTTGAATAAAGATTGTGTGTGTGTTTGCTTTGTTCTGTGGATGGGGCTTACTAAGCCATAAAGAACTAAAGCTGCCTCAAAATTCACAAGGACTTCAATTGCTTCTAACATCACTTCCCCTGGCGACCAAATTTATAATGCCCAGGAATTCTTTCCCATCCCATTTTATATGAGTTTGAGTAAAAATGGGCCACATTGGGGCCGGCCCCATGGCTTAGCGGTTGGGTGCGTGCGCTCCACTACTGGCGGCCCGGGTCTGGATCCCGGGCACGTGCCCATGCACCACTTCTCCCGCCATGCTGAGGCCGCATCCCGCATGCAGCAGCTAGAAGGATGTGCAACTATGACATGCAACTATCTACTGGGGCTTTGGGGAGAAAAAGGGAGGAGGATTGGTGGTGGATGTTGGCTCAGAGCCGGTCTTCCTCTGCAAAAAAGGAGGAGGATTGACACGGATGTTAGCTCAGGGCTGATCTTCCTCAGAAAAAAAAAAAAATGGGCCACATTGAAACTTTTTTAGTAGCAAAAAACAGTAGCCAGAGTAGCTAAAATCTGTTGATTCTCTAGATGACATGTGAAAGGGCACCTAGAAATGCTAAATACAGTAGTGAAAAAAATAGTCTATTCCAGTTTCTTATGATGAATTTGTTTTTAAACGTGGTTGTAACATTTCATATAAGTATCTATTCATATGTTCTAAGTATTTTACATATATTTCTTCATAACAACACTACGTGACGGGTACTATTAGCTCTATTTTTCAGCTAAAAAACGTGGGGCACAGAAAAGCTAAGCCAAAAGTCACTCAGCAAGTAAAATTGAGGAGGCAGTATTGAAACTCAATCAGTCCTCTGGAGCCTACACTGCCAATATATTTAGCTCTTCAAATTGGCACAAGATGTTAGAACTGGAGAAAAACAATACTATGAATTTTTACTAATGAATAGTATATCAACAGGAAATACTTCCTTTAAAAAACTGAAACCTTAAAATAAGCTTTTAAGGTTGTCTCAGACTTTATTATAAAAAGAATCTATCTCCATGACACACTGTCACTTTGCATAGTAAATGTGTAATCATACTGACATGCAAATTAAAACCATATTGAACTACCACTAGAATGGCTATAATCCAAAAGACAATACCAAATGTGGGCAAGACTGTGGAGAAACTGGAACCCTCATATATTGCTGATGGTAATGTACAATATATGGCCACTTTGGAAAAGCAGTTTTGCAGTTTCTTAAAAATCAAACAGAAGCTTACAAACAATCCAGTGCCACTCCTAGGAACCTACCCCAAGAGAAATGAAAACCTATGTCCACTTGTTCACGGCAGCATTATTCATAATAGCCAAAAACTGGAACCAATCCAAATGTTCATCAACTGGTAAATGGATTAACAAAATTTGGCATAGCCACACCAGCCAAAAAAAGGAAATGTCCAGAAAAGACAAATTTAGAGCCAGAAAGCAGATCAGTTCTTGCCTGGAGCTGGGAGGTGACAGCAGGGATTGACTACAATGGACTCTAAGAGATGGGGGGGTGGAAATGTTCTAAAACTGGATTGTGGTGACAGTTGTACAGCTATATAAATTTGCTACAAATCATTGAATTGTACACTTAAAATGGGTGTTATGATATGTAAATTATACCTCAAAAAAAGCTGTTAAAAATAAAATGTGTATCAATAAATTGGTTCATGAAATCACAAAAGTATGTTTGTAGAGAGGGAACTGACAAAAAACACCTAAACGATGGTGTTTTGGTTTTGAAATTCACCTGCACTGTTGCAATTCAGTGTTCTCTCATGGAAACGTCATTTCAATTTAAAGGTATTTCAACCATACTTGAACCTACTAAGTATAATCTGCATGTTCCCTAGAATTCACCTGCCCAAAGGTAAAATTCAAGTCACATTTTCCTTAATATAGAAATGTTACCAGTTGGAGAAATGTTACCAGTTGAAGGCTGAATCATTGGAGAAACCTGATTGTCCCTGCCCCCATGTCTCTTTCAGTTATTTCTGGATGACCCCAGGTGATATTCCACACAAACTGAAGAACCACTCCATTCTCGTTTTACTCTTTAATTCAGCAAAGTTTTATTGAGTGACTGTTATGTGCATGCTTCTGGGGACTCAATGATGAACAAAATATCCCACTTCCAGGAAGGGGTAACCATAGAGAGACACTAAACAACACATACAACTTCCTCCAAGATGTTCACTTCCTGGAAGCCTTTAAAGGAGGGTCCTAGCCATGAGTAGTGCCTTGCGCAATGTCTAGCTGCCAGTGCCTACATGAAAAGGCTGCTTCCTTGCCCTTCCACCAGGAATCAGGAGTAGCTGCTAATCTTCAGAGGGCCACTGCTGATATTCTAAACAGATGTGGGCAGACGATCTTTCTCCATCCCCCGTCAAGCTTCTTCGCTTGAGCTCCGAAATAACATTGCTGTGTCCTCAAACTCACAAGGTCCTTCATCAACATCAGTCCCTTCACCTTCTACTGCAGGCAACCTGGAAAATAAACATATCTCCCGTCTACCTTCCTCGCCATTTCATTTCCACTCCTATACACTTACCCCAGCGCCTCAGATCTGAGGCATACAGATGCCTGGGCTAGATGCCCCCTCCACACACACATTTTTTTCTCAATAAAGCCCAGCATGACAGCCTGCTGCATAAGATAAAATCAATTAGTAGAGATGAAAGAAAAACCTATTTTTCTTTTGATTTTTAATTTTAACGTGTGAAGTTCAGTGTTTCTTAAAAAAAAAAATTCTGTCAGAAGGATGCTCATTTTACTGTAAAGCATATGTACGTTCCAGACATGTATCTATAGTTAGGTATATTAGCAAAAAATAATAATAATGGTCTGAATTTTGATTACTTACATACTTAAAATGAGTCAGAATTCAATTGTGGAAATAGCTAATGACAAAGTGTTAATGAAAAATATTACATCAATAGCAGACTTCTAGAAATGTTATTGTATTAGAGCTTCTCAGCTTTCATGTACAGATCATTTAAATAATAGTCTTTTTTAATGCTCTCCTTTCTTCTACCTCTATCTATGGAACTACTTTATTCAGTTGCCTTACTGATTCAAACAAGAATCTAAACAACATAAAGACATTTCATGTTGTGTTCTGATCTCACACAATTGCTTTAATAATGAGAAACGGGTTTTGTATAAGTGGGCTATGAGTAACATTTCAGTGTCTCTAATACCCCAAACAGTACAGAGGCAGAAATCTAGGTGTGCTTTCTTTTCATAGGGCCATAGTTATAAACTCTACAAGATTAGCTACATAAAGACTACCCTCCAAATCACACTCTCCAAATACGCACACATTCAATCAGTATAATTTTAAATCAGCTTTATTGATGTATAATATACATGTAATAAAATCCACCCATTTTACTTCTACAGTTTGATGAATTTTGACAAACATGTACAGTTGTGTACACCACCACAGTCAAGATGTGGAACATTTCCATTAATCCAAAAAGTTTCCTCATGCTCCTTTGCAGTCAATCCTTTCTCCTCACGCCTGACCCCTAGCAACCACTGATCTACTTTCTGTCACTTAGCATAGTGCTTTTGAGATTCTTCCATGTTGTTACATCTATCAGTAATTAGTTCTTTTTTATTGTTGAGTAATACTCCATTTTATGGATATACCACAATTTATCTTTTCACCAGTTGATAGACAGGGTTGTTTCCATCTGGGGGCTACTATGAACATTTGTGTACAGATCTTTTGTCTGGACATATATTTTCATTTCTCTTGGGTAAATACCTAGAAATGGGGTTGGTATGTCATATAATAATTATGTATTTAACTTTATAAGAAATGTTCCAAACTGGCTCTAATATTTTTAATTTCTACCAACAAAGTATAACAGTTCTAGTTGTTCCACATCTTTGTTAACACTTGGTATTGGGCTTTTTAAATTTAGTCATTTTAGTGAGTGTGTAGTGGTATTTCATTTGTGATTTTAATTTTCATTTCCTTAATGATTAATGGAGTTGAGCAAATTTTCATTTGTTAATTGGTCATTCACACACGTTTTTTTGATGAAGTGTCTCTTCCAATCTTTTACTCAATTTTTATTCGTATCATCATCTTTTCTTATTGAGTTATATATTCTGAATACGTCTTTTATTATATACATGTTTTACAAACATTTTCACCCAATATTTGGCTTCCCTTTTCATTTTCTTAAGTGTTTTAGAAAAACAAAAGTTTTAGATATTGATGTATTCAAAATTCTCATTATAGTTCTTTTATCACTTATCCTAAAAAATCTTTGCCTAACCAAATGTTACAAAAATTTTGTGTTTTTTTTCCTATGTTTACTTCCATAATTTTTACAGTTTTAGCTCTTAGGTTTAGGTCTATGATACATTTCAAGTTAATTTTTCTTACAGTGTGAGGTGAGGGTCAATATTCATATTTTCCATATAGATATCCAATTTTTCCAGTTCAAATTGTTTAAAAGACTGTCCTGTCCCATCAGATTACCTGGGCACTTGTTTTTGAAAATCAGTTGACCATAGATGTGTTGGTCTATTTCTGGACTCTGTTTTGTTCCACTGATACACTGGTGCCAATACCACACAGCCTTGATTACTACAGCACTATAATAAATCTTGATATTAAATTGTATAAGATCTCCAACTTTGCTCTCCTTTTTCAAATTGTTTTCACTTGTCTAGGTCCTTTTGCATTTCCACGTACATTTTAGAATCATCTTTTCAATTTCTACCAAAAAAAATCTGATGGAATCACATTGAATCTGTAGACAAATTTGGAGAGAGTTGATATTTTAAAAATATTTAGTCTCCTGATCTATGTACCTCGTTTAGCTCTCTTTTTTGTTTATGTCTTCTATAATTTCTCTTAATAATGTTTTGTAGTTTTCAGTGTGCAGATCTTACACATATTTTGTGTTAAATTTATCCCTAAGTATTTAATGTTTTTATGCTGATTTAAATGTGTTTTTATTTCAATTTCCAATTGTTCATTGTTCACATTATAATTTTAAGAAAAAGTTGGAAGCAGTTTTCTGAGAATTAGTATGGATTAAAGACAAAACGCAAAAGTGGCCCTACGTGATAATTCTTTCTAATGAAGAAGAAATTATAGCAATAGAACCATTGAATAACAAAAGCAATGTGAAAGAAATATCATTGCTGACTATTACATTCGCTTTTACATTCAAGCATGGAAATTACTATTTATTCATAATGAAGGATAATACAAAACATACCCAGAGACCACCAAAGAAGGAAAGGCCCTAGACCTAGAGTCAGGAGGCCTAATACTTAAAGTATATAGTCCAAGATAAATAAATCTTGACAAACATTTCCTTCTTTTTCATTTTTTATTCAACTAACCTTTGGTGAGCATTCACAAAAAGCCAAACACTATGCTAAGTGCCATAAAATAAGAAGAATCTTACACTCCATATCATTAAGAGGTTATAATGAAAGGTCAAATGAGAAAGAGTTATATGAAATATTTTGGTAAACTAAAATATAAATTTAATGTGCTACTATTATTTTGTTTATAATTATGCCATGAAAATCCACATTTATGGGTGCTGTTACTTTAATACACAGCTCATACCAAAATAAGGAAGTGGCTCTGGAAAAAAATTAAATGGATTATAGCTAAAGAACCCTAAAATTAATCACTCTGTGACACACCAAAACCCTTTCTCTTACATCACCCTGTAATTGTATGGTACATGTACCATGTAGATCCATAGATATGGATGAAGCCTGACTTACCACTTTTAAACCCTACAAAGGCAAAGATCGGGCTTGAAATTTATAAAATTTTTCCTTCCAGATGAAGGAGGTAGGCTTATTAGTTTCTATTAATAGGAGACCTTCTGCTGACAATTTTTCTATTAGGAATCTGGCAAACTCACAAATATGACAGATGGACTGAGAATTCAGAAATATGCCAAAAGACTTTATGCAAATGATGTAGTCAAAAAATATACCAGTTTCCCTGGTTATAGATTAATATCCAAAGAAAAATATTCATGTTTTTAGTCATTATATCTTATAAATTGCTTGAAAAATACTTTTTTTGTGTTTCGTATTTTTATTTTTAGGTTTGATTCTCATAAAGGTTTCTGGTGTCAGTTACTGGAAGAAGGTAAAACAAAATGCCTTGGAAAGAGCAAAGGAAGAAAATACCCTCCAATGGATCCTGATGTAAGTACAGAGGTTAAAAATAAAAACTAAATAAGTAAAACGATAAATAATAATATATCCATTTTCTTAGAAAAACGGTTAAAATCAAAATTCAGCCTTTCTAAAAATTAAAAGTGACATCTGGATTTCAGTGCAGCCAGGTTGCTTGTTTTGATTTTTCCAATGATGTATTACCTGTCATGCAAGAATAAAGGAAAACAATAGAATTTGCCATTTTGAATCAGAACAAAAAAGGCAACATCTCCTTCCAGAAAGAATGATACGTTTACAGAAATTTTAGCATTGAAAATGTTAACGGAGGGGCTGGCCCATGGCGTAGTGGTTAAGTGCACATGCTCCACTGCTGGCAGCCTGGGTTCGGATCCCGGGCGCACACCGATGCACCGCTTGTCGGGCCATGCTGTGGCGGCATCCCATATAAAGTGGAGGAAGATGGGCACGGATGTTAGCTCAGGGCCAGTCTTCCTCAGCAAAAAGAGGAGGATTGGCATGGATAGCTCAGGGCTGATCTTCCTCACAAAAAAAAAAAAAATGTTAACTGAAACCAAGCCAGGAAATATATGTTGATACATATTGGATGTCAATAGAAATTTAAAATAGAACCAAAAGATGTTTTTTCTTTTTTCTTTTTTTTTACTGAGTTACTCTATAGTAGTAAGTGTAGCCTGCATAATAATATTAATTATTGGTATACTAAGCTTTGAATGGTTAATATACTAATAAGATGAAAGAATGAATATATTTCCCAAATGTTTAACATACCAGATAATTTAGGCTTTGGAGAATTGAGACACCCAGACATGGTGGTATGTATGTAGCACCTCATGTCTACTCTGTTCAGAATAGTGACATGGCAGTCACTTAATGCTGCAGTTTTCTCAGTTTGTAGACCCTATGTTTTCACCTTAATGCTTATTTCACATATATTAAAATTTATTAATATTATTTTGATTTCATATTTATTTCAGTTAATATATAATTTGGACATAAAAATGCAAGTAGATTGATTTTGTAAAAATTTTTTAAAACTCAGAAATTGAAGGGCTGGCCCAGTGGTGTAGTAGTTAAGTTCACATGCTCTGCTTCTGCAGCCCGGGGGTCGCAGGCCTGGATCCCAGGCGCAGACCTACACTCCACTCATCAAGCTGTGCTGTGGTGGCATCCCACATACAAAATAGAGGAATATTGGCATAGATGTTAGTTCAGGGACAATCTTCCTCAAGCAAAAAGAGGAAGATTGGCAACAGAGGTTAGCTCAGGCCCAATCTTCCTCAGAAAAATTTTTAAAAAAACCCTCAGAAATTAAAATATTACTTGGGATTTTTTTCCCACGGTGTTTAATACATTATGTTAACTAAGAGTCACACAGTGATCTGAGAAGCCTAAGATGGTCTGAACTTATCTGAATACTTTTTGAATACTTGAAGACTTTGAGAACCTTTTTTTTATTCCAACCTGATATAGACAGGACCTGTCCTCACCAAGCTCATAAATATATTCTATCTAAAAGGCATTGTGGGGGTTCTTCCTGTTGTCCTGATCAACAAATTACATTCTCAGAACTCCAGTTTTCCTTGGTTGATTATTAAAACATGCCTTCAGAGCACTATGAAAACAATCCTCACACATTAATAGAAATTCAAGAGCAATTTCCATAGTATTTCAAGAAAGTAATACAAAATATATCATTTTCATTTATGTCAAAGCTATTTCTCTATATATTTATTAAAACTAAAACACTTAAAAGACACTGTAGAACATCTTTCTTAGCATTTTATTTTATTCCTATCCAAGACAGACATACTGGGACATATTAAATTTGGTGGTAGAGAAGGATAAGCAAAACATAACTTTTCAGGATATCAGTACTTCTCTATCTGTCAGCAAGGTTACATGCAATACATTACTAAGATCCTTTTTTTTACTCAGACACTTCTGACACCAAATATGTGGGTTTTTCCATACCAAGCAATTCTCCAATTTCCTGCAGATGCCAACTAGGTGACCTAGAATTTAATTCAGTTCTGACATTAACTACCCAGAGTTAGCACATACCCCATGGGTAAGGGCCCAGTCATGCAAGACTGCCCTCCCCCCCAACCCCTGCTTCAGACTCTAATAGCAAGTAGTGGGTCCCCAGGATACTCACAGTCCTGTCTAACTTGGCTACAAATTGGAGGTTCCCACAACCCCCTCCTCAGGTTTTATAATTGGGTGTAATGGTTCACAGAACCCAGGGAAACACTTTACTTACTATTACTGGGGAAACACTTTACTTCCTGTTATTATAAAGGATACAAAGGAACAGCCAGCTGAAGAGGTACATAGGACAAGGTCTGGAAGGGTCCTGAGCACAGGAGCTTCTGTCCCTGAGGAGTTTGAGGTCTATCTCCCTCCTGGCATGGATGCATTAGCAACCCTGAAGCTCTCCAAATCCCTTCATTTAAGGTTTTTATGGAGGTTCCATCACGTAGGCATGATGGATTAAATCATTGGCCATTGGTGATTATCTCAATCCCCAGTCGAATTTCCCTTCCCAGGAGGCCAGAGGGTGGGGCTCAAAGTTCCAACCCTCCAATCATATGTTTGGTTCCTCTAGCAACCAGCCCCTATCTGAAACTATCTGGGGTCCCACCAAGAATCACCTCATTAGCATAAACTCTGGTGTGGTTTAAAGAGGCTTATTATGATTGACTAAAAGTCACTTGACACTCCTATCACTCAGGAAATTACAAGGGTTTTAGGACCTCTGTGCCAGGAACCAGAGATGAAAAGCAAATATATATTTCTTATTATATTGCAACATCATATACATACTAGGTTTATTTGAGGGAGTAGAGTGGCTGATTTTGTGCAAATAGTGTCCCGAGAGGAGGCAAGAGTGAAGGAGCCCTCACAGAGGCGATGGACACACGCATGTGTAGAACGGATTAGAGTAGGCAGCACTGTCACGACCCTGCTTGCGTCTCCTCCTTCTACAGAGAAACGCCCTACCTTCCTCTCGACCGTCACCAAAACACCACAGGATGCATTTGATCCTCGGACATTAAGAATGTTGTTGGCCTGATTCCACTTTGACTTTGTTTATCAAAATATATTGTAGGAAAGGAATAAAAACTGACATTTTAAATTACCACCACTAAATCGATTCTCTCTCCAAATCAAAAGCATATAACAGATTCCTTAGTTTAATTATAGGCCAATAAACAACGTGATACTGAATTTACTATATGATTCCTTCTTTTCATCATATTTTCATATTATGAAAGTATGTATTATTATTCTTTCCTCTTATTATATTATTTCACATGAGCATGCATGAAGTAGTCAGACTACATTGGCATAGTTAGCATGTATCCTATTTGTGATCCTACCATCTAAAATATCCTCCCTTCTGAATGGTCATCAGATAACAATGTTGTACAGTACATCCTGCATACCACCACGTTCTGTCCTAGATCTTCTGGCCTGAACATATTAGACTTTTACAAACAGGACATGTCGTACTTTGCCAATCTCATATCAGTTACCTTGAGGGAGCAGAGCAACAAAAGGAAGGGGTACTTGATTATGGGGACATGATTATGGGGACACACGTACAGTAGTCCTCCCTCATCTGCAGGGGATACATTCCATGACCCCCAGTGGATGCCTGAAACAGCAGACAGTACTGAACCGTATATATACTATGTTTTTTCCTATACATACATATCTGTGATAAAGTTTAATTTAAAAATTAGGCATAGTAAGAGATTAACAACAATAACTAATAATAAAATAGAACAATTATAACAATATACGTTAGTAAAAGTTATGCAAATATGGTCTCTCTCTCTCTCAAAATACCTTATTGTATTGTACTCACTATTCTTGTGATGATGTGAGGTGATACAATGCCTATGTGATGAGATGAAGTGAGGTGAATGACATAGGCATTGTGATGTAGCATTAGGCTACTATTGACCTTCTGACCATACATCAGGAGGATCATCTGCTTCTGGACCGAGGTTGCCCGCAGGTAACTGGACCTGTGGAAAGCAAAACCACGGATAAGTGGGGGCTACTGTACACACATAATAGGGCATAGGACAAGGGTTTGGCTACAGAGACAGCACTGATACAGGCAGGCAAGTTTGAAAATGATGCTCCAAAAGGCCAATAAATTGAGGTATAGTCAAAATAGTCTTCAGTATCAGGAGGTTCAATCCAAACTCCAAAGAGATGGATAGTAGAAATGGATGCCAGGAGGTTCAACTCTGAAGCTAGTTAAGATCTCGGACAATCACTTACCACATGGGAAATGTTAGGGAGCAAGCTGGCAGGAGCTGGGCAGCCCCGGGCTGCCGTTGTTCCAAGCAGGGCTTCAGTCATAAGGAGGACAAGGCGAAGTAAGATGTTAAGAGAGAGCACAACGGGGATGTTCAGAAACTCAGACTCTACACAAAGACCTAGGGCTCATCCCTGCATTCCAGGTCTGACTGGCAGCAAAGGAGGCAGAGAATGATCAGGCTCTCAGAGGAAGTATCTGGGAAATAAATTTATCTCCACCTTTCTCTGGCCTGAGTATGCCAGCTGGGCCTATCAGTGGCCTTAGAGCTAATGAGTGAGAAAGACCAAAAGCAGAGAAACGAGACAGGCTGACACATAAACCACACAAAGGCTTGGTTCTCCCTTGATCACAGTGATGGTCAGGAGACAGCACAAATGTTCAGTCTGGGTCCAATGGCCATGATGACTGCAAAAATCACTACGCCACACTGAAACTTCAATACAAAAGGAGACTTTTTTTTCCTATGGCATTTAAAATGGAGTAACCGATATGACATTTAAAAAGAATGGCACAAGGAATTAAATAAAAACTTTTTAAAAGTTCAACTCAACTAAAAATCTCAGAAAAATATAAAGCAGGGAGGTACAGATACAGGTGCAGAAACCCCCCCTTCACAGCATGCCTGACACCGGTCACCCACACTCTACATAAACCCCACCAAATGCCATCTCACAACACAGCCCTTCCCATTTTTGACTATTTCAATTTTTAAAATATTTTTTTTTATTGAATGGAAATCTACCTCCCTATAAGTCAGGATAGTTTACAAGGTATTCGTCTCCTTCTTTGGTCAAATAGTGCAAGTATACCAGGTTACAGATTTTCCTGGTCACCTACTGCATTTTTAAGGCTTACCACAATACTGTTCTAGCAGCAAGTATTTTGTATATGCCTTAAAAGATCTATTAAGAAAGTATTACCTTCAAAATCTAAATGAAAATTAATGATGACAGGGGAGTATTTTATGTTATAGATTTACCAAATTAACTCTTTCTCTAAAGCTAGGATGATTTTAATAGAGCATAATATTAGATCCAATCAGTTGTTACAACTATATTTCTGGCAACTCAGTCTAGTTATTTTAACATTTAATTCTGCACAATCAAATAAATCACCCGTGGGGCTGGCCCGGTGGCGTAGTAGTTAAGTTTGCACGTTCCCCTTCGGCAGTCGGGTTCACAGGTTCGGATCCTGAGCACAGACCTACTCACCGCTCATCAAGCCATGCTGAGGCGTTGTCCCACATAGAAGAGGTACAACTCTACAACTGTGATACACAACTATGCACTGGGGCTTTGGGGAGAAAAAAGAAAAAGAGGAAGATTGGCAACAGATGTTAGCACAGGGCCAATCTTCCTCAGGAAAAAAAAAAACGGAAACCACCTTATGAAAAAGGAAAAATAAATAAATAAATCACGTTTCATACAAAAGCTCTTTCCCTAGTAAAAACGGTGTATGTGTGTAGAGTGTGTGTTTTGAAGAACAGAGTCACTGTGTTTATATTGTGCTAAATAGTCTACATGCCTAAAGTAAATTTCAATCCAGGTATGGTTTACTTGATATAGATCGAAACATCATCAAAGTATATGATGTGGGCCAGCCCCGTGGCTTAGCGGTTAAGTGCGCGTGCTCCGCTGCTCGCAGCCCGGGTTCGGGTCCCGGGCGCGCACCGTCGCACCGATTCTCCGGCCATGCTGGGGCCACGTCCCACATACAGCAACTGGAAGGATGTGCAGCTATGACGTACAACTGTCTACTGGGGCTTTGGGGGAAAAAAATAAAATAAAAAAGTATATGAAGTATACTTTAATAAACAAAGTCAATGTACTTTTGTCTCCCCTCCCACCCCAGAGCAGAGCATTTCTGTCCAGCTACTATCGAGACCACAACGTGGACCTCTCAAAGCTGCTGCACAAGCTGGGGCAGCCTCTGCCGTCCTGGCTGAGACAGGAGCTGCAGAAGGTGAGGTAGCGCTGAGAGGGAACGGCTGGAGAACCCACCTTCCCTGTGACACTCACCTTTCCCGAAGCTTCCAGAAGCTACCAAAAGGCTGTTTAAAAATATACCTCTTCCAATGAGAAAAAGAACCAAGTCCCTTCCATGTGCCGGCATGTGGATGATTAGAAAAAACAGAAAAAGTGTCTGTTACGAGCCTCGAGGCCTGTGGCCTTTCCCTTAACCCACGACTGAGCCTGTGGGATTACTTCGACTACTGTGCACTCGTGTGGAAGTCAATAATACAACCAGTACAAATAGCAAACACGAATGCAGAACTGTTCCATTCGTAGTAATATTTACACTTTTATATATCAACTAAGATTGTGTCTCTGTAGATTTTTAGACCACGGTTTGCCTGTACAATGTTTTCTCATTCTTTGATTCTATAAAGTGTCCTACAAAACAAAAAGCAAAATAAACATCACAACGTAGCATAAAATGCCAAAAGCATAACACCCATGAAAAATGCTTGCCAAAATATAAATCCACTGAAGTATTTAGAAAGAATTGTAAATTACAATTTGTGCTAGATATGAAAGTGGAAAAGTTATATATGAGCTTTTTCTGCATCCAAAAAAGATAAAATAAAATAAGCACCATAGCAAAAAAAAAAAAAAAAGTGATTTTTCATACACATAGTCTAGTGCATTTAGGTAAAAATTACTAATTCCTCTATCATAACGTAATTGTTATACTGGAAGATATGTTGTAAATCCATTGGATGGTAAATAGAAACGCACTGCGTATTCCAAAACAGTAACTAATAATATAAGGTGTACTGACTGAATCCTCTAAAAGGGAGAAATTTAGGGGTCTGAAGATATATCGTTGACAGCTTATGTCCCCTTTCTGTGAACTGCAAATCTATTCCACTAGTCCTCACTGATTCTACAGAAATGCTTGCATAGAATCGGAGGTGTATGTCATCTCCAGAAACAGACTGACTTTAAATGTGAATAACTTTTTTTTAATGTTCCCCAGAACAAAACCTATTAAATAAAAACTAAGGACAGTTTCTCTAGATGATATGTTAGGTTATTTGCATTGAAATTATAGAAAAACTACATTTTTCCAGATAGTTCAAAATGAAATTGTGTAATGTAGAGGTTTATAACAAAAAACAAATTAATATATGATTTTTAACCTGCTATTTGCAATGATACTTTTAATATAAGGCAGAAAAAAATAAGCAGGGCTGAGTCCCATTTTCTTAGACTATTTCGTACATCAGTCTCATGGAAGACAATAGAACATAGTTAAATTTATGGATTATCTACTAAATTAAATGGAAGAAGTACAAAGATGAGCTAGGCCTGGTTCTTAAATATATTTACACTTAAATTCTAAATGATTATGTGATTAATAAAGTATTCAAAAAAGAAAAGAGTAAATCATACTTATTTTCCTGTGTTTATATGTACAATTTTTAAATGTATTACACACATCAAAAAATTAAGTAGTAAATAAATTCCCTGCTGTGATTACATAAGTTTTTGTAAAATGTTATCAAAAGTATTATTAGAAACAAAAGATTTGCAAGGAAAATCTATACCCCAAACATTTTCATTGTCATTATCATGTGTGAAACTAAACTATCAATTATTCATTAATTAGAAAACAAATTTTGAGATCCTTCTACTTACTATAAATTTTTAAAATTACATTATAATTATTAATTAAATGTTTTTTAAAGTTTTACGTACCCAAATGATATACTAATTTTTAAACAGCTATTAGCAGAAAGAATTGGGGAAAAAAAAAAGTTTTCAAGACCCCTGACTGTAAAAGCAAAATCAAAGTGATTTGGACAAACACAGTCAACTTCATGCTCACTGCTGCCTTTTTTGAAGCAGCACATGCCCGACGGGCTAGGAAAATGAATATAGTCTTTCATCTCCACAGATTTATGAAAACTCGCTTAAGAAGGTCAAACCGAGTGAGAACAGGCCCCAGCAGTCACATGCAGTATCAGGGTTCATCTGGACAACATTTCTACCCGTGAAAGGAAAAAAGAAAAGAAAAACGGATACGTTTACATTTTAATGATGAGATGTGCATTTAAACTTCTAAACAAAGCTGCTAATGGCATAATTTCGTCTAGGTAAACTGAGTCAACTGAACAGCTCACCCTTAAAAATAAATGTTAAAAACATACCGGATGGTTGAATAATAAAAGGAGAAAGAGGAAGAGATCATACCAAAATTTACTCATTCACAGAACAGGTATTTTGCTACCTAGAGCAGCAAACCTTGGAAAGGATTTTTGACCACTCAGTGTATCTTGGAGGCAATACCAAATTCTAGAGGATGTGCATCCTTTCTACATGATATACTTCAGCCGGTTATTAGGCTATTCTGAAAGTGACATAAATACACAAGAAAAGAATGAGAGAGAATGTGACTTAAAACTAGCTTTGTACAGAATTGCTTTTTCATTGCTTAAAATATGAAACTTCCTCAGGAAGAAATGAATGGTTATTTCAGTGTTTATAGCTATAATATTCTTGTCATTCACATTGAATGAAAATTACTGGAAACATTTTTTTCTCTGAGTTTTTTAAAATAAAAAACCTGGATATAATTCTGATAGTAGCATGGTACCTCATATGTACAACAATAAACTGTGATAAGAAAATGAAGAGTTTTGGCTTGGTGATTTTAGGTAATAAGTAGGTATTTGATTGTTTGTGTTTGCCTGAGACAGAGTGGGAGGTGGTTATGAAACATACATACCACCATTATAATTCAAAATGGATAGAGGAATGGAAAACTTCCAAGTAGGAAATAAGTAAGCTTTTTTTTAAATAATATAACCTCTCACAGATCCTTCTCCTAACCAATTTTAGTAATTTTTGTTGTTGTTCTTGTTAGTTCTAATAGATATAAAGCAGCTCCTAGGGTCACTCGTGGGACCCTAGAATAAGAGAAGAAGAGAAACACACAGCTGTTAACAGATTTGAGAACCTGAATGATTATAGCATTTTTTATTGCCCCTACTCTGCTCTACTCCCCACCAATGGGCTCCTTTCTTTAGAGCTTTAAAAGCTGTTAGCTAGTCTTAGATTTTTATAAAAAATCTAGCAAAACAATCTCTGCCCCAAAAAGTGGTGGGGGGAGTTAGACATTTATCTACATTTTCCACAAACTTTCTTTTCTCTATTCCAGGCCCTTTCTTTTCTAGATGTCGGATTTTCTCATGTTACAACCCACCCAGTGTGCACACACCAAATGATTCCCCATAGGCTTGTCTCCCACACACACAGTTCTCCAATCTGGAATACGTCTGACTCCCAGTTTTCTATCTAAATATGCCATCCTATGTTCCATCTACTCCAGGACCAACTGGTGACTGGTTAATAAGCCAAACCTATCAGTTAGTGACTTATAATACTATGCTTTCCAGAGATACCAGCACTGCAATTGCCAGAAGATGCATTTTAGCCCCAAGACTCATTAATGAGGAGGCACAGAACTGCTCAAATATTTCAGTATGAAGGGATTTCTCTAATTTCAAATTACATTGTATAGCTGCGTTCTATTCTGCCACAGCTGACTCTGCTTAGTTACCACCAACAACATAGCTGCTGCCTTCTTCCTGCCCACCCCACCCCACACACACACACCCCCATCCCAAAACAGTTGGCAGTCACGGAAGAGCAGTGAATAGTTGTGGTGGATAATCCTTAAGAAATTATTTCTGTATTGGCTTGAAATGTTATCGTCTCTTCACTTACTTTACCTAAAAGCAAACTTAATGTCATGAGCTCAAGCTATGAATTTGACCTTTGAGGATGAACGCTACAGACAGAGTGTAACATTGATTCCATTCCCAAGAAAATCTAGAATCTACTTTGAGTAAGCCTCTCACTTGTGGTCAGGGGTACCTCACAGAATTTGAGGGCTACTTCCTCCCATTGGGTGCTACTACTAGTTCTTGCCATTTATTGTCCTCAATTTGTTCTCTATAAGAGTTCTCTGTATATTCAATGCTCTTAACAAATGTCATAAAGAATTTATTCCTTATTTATTAGTATATAGAGTTTATTTCTTAACCTCCTCTTGCACCTTCTTCCATTAATCCTATAACTATCAATCTTTGAGTTCCTATCATTTCTCAGTCTATTCCCAAAAGTTATAAATACAAACATTAGTAAATCACTAAAATTGGAACCTGCTACATTTTTACCATCTTCTTCAGAGCGTCTCTTAGAGAAAGAGGAATCCTGAATAGTGTCAATAAGTATTTAAGAAGACATTCACTTGCCAGATTCAAGTCAGATATTTTATTTGCCTAGCAATCCCTTTCAAGGAAGTCAAAGCAAATTTTACAAATTAAATACTCACAGCATAAAGTCTCCAAGATATTGTTAGGAAGAATATATTTGCCCACATTTTATCATACAGAAAACTGAATTAAACTGAATGAAATGTGAAACACTTCCAAAGCACACAGAATCTGTGACAAATCTTACATAAAACTGTCTACATCAAGCTGCTTCTCAGTTATGAGGGAATAAATTAAGTGCAGGAAATGCCTGCTGTCTACACTTTTGATGCCAAAATGCTCTATTTCAAATCAATAACTGAAATGGAAACCAGATCTTCTCTTAAATATTATGCATAATTTATAGAGTTGGACCAGAGAAGATTGGTCTTCTTTATCTATTTGGTAAATAATATTCTGAATCTGAATTTTTTCAGTTTCAACCACTTTAAACAGAAATGCAAGGTCAAAATGCTGTATGCTCTCAGGACTTTAGTGTATCTTTTCAGAACTTAATTGGTGTCCTTCAAAGCAAACAAAACTTTTGAAGGCCCACCAAACAATATACTATCAAAAAATAAAGTTTACTTCACTTACAAATGAATAAATTGACAAACTTTAGAAATTAAAGATTATAATTTAAAAAACAATAAAAAGCTACGAAAATATAATATTGACAAATTCTCACTCCCATCTATGGTCAACCTGATAAAAACCATACTGTTTCTATTCCCAAT